TTACTTGCTTAAAATATTGATCTTAATACTAGCATGAAATTAGTCGGTTTTTACATTTAAAAATACATATGAAATATATAAAGTAATTTTCATTATTGGTTAACTTTTTCACCCATTATCATTTGTTGTATTAGTTTTGGGTCGTAAGCTTATCAACAATGGTTTATTAATGTTGCAATGAATGCAACGTGTTGTATAGTAACACTTTTTTTAAGTTCTGTTCCTGTGCTAGTTTGAAGGTAGGTTGCATTTTTCGTATTTCTCGTTCTGTTCTTAGGCATGAAGCTGCACAATGAGCTATCTGTAATCTGCCCATTGCGGATATCTAAACTCGATTTTTAGCGTCATAACCTCCCCCCCCCCAATAATAATTATCAAATATATGATTGGGCAAAAGGGAGCTTTATATTGTAATCTTAGTGAATGCTATTTCTTAAAAGTTGCCCCCCCCCCAGTGGCACAGCGGAATGTCTGCGGATTTACAACGCTATGAACCGGGTTTTGATACCCGTGGTGGGCAGTGCACAGATAGCCCATTGTGTAGCTTTGTACTTAAACAACAAAGAAACAAAACCTTTTGAGGAAAATTAAAATCTTCACAAATGAAAACTGCTTAATAATTCCGGAATATCGGATATTGTTAAGATCGTTTAGTGTTTGATGGCAGTACTTTTAAAATAATGTTTGTTTTTTAGGAAATTAAATTGCAAAAGTTTAATAGGTGGTGCATATATAGGTGCTGGCAAAATTAGAAGTTCAATATCTTTGAACAGTGACCATAAGGGTACGTGTCTTAAGTGAATAAGCATCAACGAATAATAGTTACAACATGGATTCTGCGTATCCCTCCAGTGTGTCAGCGGTAAGTTTACAGCGCTAGAATTCGGGGTTTGATTTGCGGAGTGCAGATAATTCATAATGTAGCTTTGTATTAAGAAAACAACACAACAACAATGGTGGTCCTGCAGCAAGCTCGAAGGCTTATAATATTCGATCCTCGCGGTGAACACAGCATCAACATCCGAATGTGCAAGTTTACGCTAAAACAAAAATACTCCAAGAAATTAGAACTGGCAAATTATTATACAAGTAAGTATAAAGATGTGTTTTAAAACAAACTTATTTTCATACATGCTTTGAAACAATGTTAACATTCTAAAGCATACAATTTAACGCTTTTGACAGTCCTATATTAGGCTCGTGACCTTTCTTATTGTTTTGATAAAAACATTTAATGTATTAGAAAAATAATTTTTCATACAAATCATTTGCACGTCTCATAAACGTGTGTGTGTGTGTTTTTGATAAAGTAAGAAATTGCTAAATTTGGTTAAATGAACGTCATAAGTGTAATTCCCTATAGACTTCATAATTGTATACCATATGGACCAAATTGTAATGATTAGTTTTTGGTAGTTGCTCGTATTAAATTTCAGTTGCAAACAGCGTTAAAACGTAACAGAAGGACAAGGAAGATCCAACTGGATAGAAGAATGAAAGGGAAAAAAATGTATGTTCAGTATAACACAAGTGATGAGTAAGTTCTTTCATAATTTTTTTTCAGATATTTTTATATCGAGATGAACAGCTTCAATAACTAATAACATACTTTTTAAGTATGCCTTTAATATGATGTGTAAAGCAATAACTATCACCAGTTATTCTGATAGATGGCGCTGTAAAACCAAATCGGAAATAGATACTAGTCATCTATTTAAGTCACTAGTTAAGGAGGTAAATAATTAAAGCTGCCCAGTTAGAAATGTGTTGATTGATGTAAATATAAGTGTGATTTTTAATGTCTTATCATATTCAAAATTATTATTGTGAAGAAAATGTTGCTAATGTATTAGCTCGTTAATAAGATTTAGAAAAATAAATCATGCAATGTGCAACAATTAAACTATTACTGAGCGCATGGTAATTACTTCAGAACGGCTAAGAGTTTTTTAATCTATATCGAAGTGTTTTGTGTTTAGAATTCCTTGATAAGGTAGCTTTCCCATGGATCTAATCCATATATCAACATATATTGCCTCCCCTTAACATATTAAAATAGCACGGATAGTTATGCATGATCAAGGGTAATCATGAAAGTTTACCGTGGTGGGCAAAGCACAGATAGCCCATTGTGTAGCTTTGTGCTTTACTTCAAACAAACAAACATAAGTTTATTATTGACGTACGTAATGAGGCCTATTCTGTTGTACGTTTTATTTTTTGTTAGATCAGACTTATCTTAAAAAGTGTTACGATACGATTCTGTAAGATAATTCAGAGGTTCTATTAAAAAACAAAGTAATAGAAGCTTTACAGAATTATTAATGTGCTGGGTATGACGTGTTGGAATGTCCATCTAAAAGCCCAAGTGTCGAACCTCCGATAGGCCGCTGAACATACTCCACGCTTTCAGCTAATGGGCGCGTTATAGAAATTTGTTGTATACTCTTCCCAATAGCGATCAATTTTATGTAGCATCACACTACCTACAAACGCCACAAAAAGTAAAATGTAGTTCTGATACATTCTGTTCCATCATGACTTTATATCGGCTGTGGTTGTCACGTAAATTGGCGATTTGCGTTTACTAAATTTTTTTGTAAACTGAGAATGGCTATGCCTTGAACCATGGTATCCATAATCTTAGCCAATGTCGTATAAGGCGTTGTTCAGGTTGAAAATACCATCCCAGAATGTTTAAGATGGAAGGTGTCAAGTTTGTAAGATGGGGACAAAATTTAGATACGAGACTATAATGCGACATAATACAGATAGCTTAACATCACAATTTTGTTTGTTATAGATACACATGAAAAATACTATTTTCTACATACGGGAAACGAGATAGAAAATGAGTCATTTACAATAATTTGGTCCACAGGGAAAATTTTAAAATTGTCCTGTGTGAGAGATTTTTTTTTTTTATTCTCGAAGATGAAAGCTTCAAGTTCCTTTGAAACCTTTCCTTTCTTATCTTTGTTCTGATATGTCATAACGCTGATTTCATAAGTTGGGATTACGACTGAAACTAAATATTGTGATGGCCTACATCAAGGCCCGGCATGGACAGGTGATTAGGGCTCTCGACTCGCAGTCTGCGGGTTCGAATCCCCGTCACACCAAATATGCTCGCCCCTTCAGCCGTGGTGGTATTATAATGTGACGGTGAATCCCACTATTCGTTGGTAAAAGTGTAGTCCAAGAGTTGGCGGTGGGCGGTGATGACTAGCTGCCTTTTCTCCAATCTTACACTGCTAAATTAGGGACGGCTAGCGCAGATAGCCTACGTGTAGCTTTGCGCGAAATTCAAAACAAACAAACAAACAAGCCCACATCAAATAATAATACAAGATTTATTTGACGATTGTTATCTAGCTAGTAAGTACAACATACCCGAAATTTCTTCTCAATTGCCTAAAAATCTACAATAACTATTATTATTGATTACTCTTAAGTATGAGTATAAGACAAATTAGAAAAAGCCTCTATGACCAATCTGCCTTAGGTCATCAGTTGGGTATCATCGCTGTTGGTGGTGTTTTCGGTCCATAACCCAGGAGCAAATGACGTGGTTAGGCCTACTTAGGGAAATTATTCATCACTGAAGTAGAATTGTTACATACAAAGCTTCGTGTATCGTACCTATAACATTTGGCCAATGTAGCTATTACTATTTAAGAAATTTGTTATGTTAAATCTGTCTAAGACTATAAATTAAAATGCATATTAAATCAATTATTGTAAGTAACATAAATACATAAACTTGCATAGCAAAGAATATGAGGGGAATTGGAGATAACAGATAGTGTAGTTATTAATATTTAAGAAATCTACCTAATATTGAATTAATTTAATTTTGTAAATTACTAGAAAATACATTAATATAAACTTACTTCTTAATTAGTATGTGGATAATTTTTGCCAGATGTCCATAACCTGTGTATATATGACCTCTCGTGCATTTGGTCAAGTTTTACTTGTTTTAACACACTAGTATATCAAGGTGACCTTGCGAAAGTGAGTCTGCCAGTTTTGAAAAGGAGTATTATGAACAGCACAAACCAAAGGTGACCAGTTGCTAAAATAGAAAAGACAATTTGAGAAACGTTAGCATAGAATTTGAGGAAAATCGGAGAGGATAGATATGGCTTTAACTTGCTATG